GGTGATACTCGGTGGTAGAAAAGAATAGTGACTGTCTGTTGATCGTTGTGCGTCCTTTGACAACAACGATTTAAACGTTCGAGCTGCTTACAAATCTATCTTCTCGATTTTCATAAAAAACATATTTCGACGAGAATTGACCTTATTTACATTCAAATGTAGTAATTTTTTAAGGCTAAACTATGAAAGATCGATTTCCTTAAAACTCCTTTTTTATTAAGGAGAAAGGCTTTTCGTGGCGCGGTACGTGAAGTCACATTTTTGACCCTCTTTTACCATTCATCATACTATTCTCAGGTTAGCATTCATTGTATTATTCTTTAGAACTCTATTTTTTAGCTCGTATTTGTTTCTATAACTTAACAGTTATCTTTTACATGCGTGACCTAGGTATCCGCTGAAAGCCATGGTAAACGGGTCCACACTCTTTCCAACATTATAAGCACAGCATAAAGTTATTAAAGTGTTTCCGTTAGGTTGAGGACAAGCAACGTTGTACGCCGCTTTGACTAAAGCGGGATCCACCCTAGAGAGTACTAGCGACGAATTATAGCATGTCGCAGTTTCAAAATGTCAAAAAATGATGCCTTTAAAAACGGTTTTCTCTTGAAAGCAATTTTTTTTTTTGAAATGACCGAGTATTTTGAAGTCAATGGTTAACAAAACTAACATTTTGGAAAGTAACCTTTTTACCACCAGAGTTTTGCTCTATAACCAGAGTATAATACCATCAACTGACGTGATACAACTTACCTTGACTCTGAAGATGACCGCACAGAGATGACAACAACAGTTCTATTCAGGACTACGTTTACTCGGACGATGAAACTCACAGACCCGTAACCAGGAGGGGTGCACGGGGTGCGTTCGCACCTCCCCACAGGCCCCAAAGGTCCGCATTTTGATACTCAATATCCAAGTTAAGGCGTGCAGTCGGTTAAACTAAAGTTTCAAACTTAACAGTCCAGTGATATTTAAACAAAATCAAAGAATGGAAAAAGCAGTGGTGTATTCACTGGGAAAATAAAACCAGCTACACTCTAGTAGCCCGAGCCATTCAGGGCATTTCAATGAGCGCACAGATGTCCGAGCTTATGTAAATGAATAATGGAATTAACGTGCGCAGGCCCCGGGGCGCAGGCTTTGCACGGGAGTTTACGACGAGCGAGACAATGACAAGGGAGCGATCTCACGATTTTTGTCAGACACGTCCGCTAACGCTTTGGGTAGTATTCTCTAGTACGAGCGCATGAACGCCTGAAGATGCAAAATTAGTTCTTTGTGTAATACGTTATGGGTAGGAGAGAACAGGAAAATAGAAAAAGGAAGGCTGCAGCTAAATCTTGCCAGTCTCTCGATACAACACAGGAAAAAATAACGGATTCCCATTTTTGGATATTTTAGGGTATTTAAAGAATACCCACAAAAATCCCAAATTTGGAAGAGTGAGACAAGTCCCAATCTGGGAACTTAGTTGGGAATTCCCCGGTTGGGGCTTGTCTCACTTTGCCAAATTTGGGATTTATATGGGTATTCTTTAAATACCCTAAAATATCCAAAAATGGGAATACGTTATTTTTCCTGTGCAATGGGTCAGTAAAGTACCCCGTCAAGAGCTATCAGACGCTGACAATGACAGTGCAGTCTGCGACGACAGCCCAGCTGAAACCACGACTTCAGATCTATCTCAGTTAACTACAGTTTTACAGCGAGATATAAACTGTAAATCATACTCTTTTTCGCAATGTCCACCAGTCTTGATCCCATTATTACGCTCTGAGATTTAGTCGCTACATCCACTGAGGCTGGAGCTCGGAACTGTTCTGACGGATTAGTTCCGCAGTATTTTGATGTATCATTTTACATCGTAAAATTACTCCTTTATAACTAAATTCAAACAGTTGTATTCGAAAAATGTAATATTTAGTTCCTACCGTGTTCTTTGCCGTTACAATTTCTCATGTATTGCTAGTTTCCTAAATAAACGGATCAGACGATAAAAAATACATTTCCGTAGTTGGGTCCGCTTTGGCCTCGTTAGCACCCCCCCCCCCAAACATAAAATCCTGGTTACGGGCCTGACTCAACCTACTTTTGCAATGACTCCTGGATTTAAACCTTTCACATGATAATTAGTGGTAGAAAAGAATACAGTTGAACCTCTCGGTACGGACACCTCATAATATGGACTCCTCTATATTACGGACAGTTTCCAATGTCCCGAGAAATTCTCATATATTTTCTTTAAAAAAAAACCTCCCTAATACCGACTCTCTCTAATACGGACAACGGACACGAAATCTCGGCCCCAGAGAGTAATTTCATATAAACTTAACCTCTTTATTACGGATACTACTGTGATCAGGTGCCGATCCCGAATCCCGATCAGGTGAATCTGCACAAGGTGAATCTCGTTTTTGACCCTCTTTTACCATTCTTTATATTATTCTTTAAAACAATGTTTGTCAGCTTTTTTAACTTAAGAATCATCTTGTACATGTGTAACCTTGGTACCCACTTAAAATCGTGCCGTAAAAAAATAAAGGGTCGACAATCTTTTCAACATCACTAAAAGGAATTTAAATTGTATTTTATCCATTTGATTACAAGCAATATTGTACGCCGATTCGACTTAAGCAGGACCCATTTTCTTTTCGAAGAATTACAGCATGTCTCATTTTGTTAGTATTAAAGTTCATGTCTTTAAAAAAAGTGGTTTTTTTTAAGAAAATCTATTTTTTGACATGATAGAGTAGGTTTAAGTCAATAATTAAGCACAACTAACGTTTTGGAAACCTGTTCACCTCCGGAGTTTAGCTTTCTAAAGAGCTTTAACAGAACTGACTATCCATTGCATCGGTGATAACAAAATTCAAAACACCCTTCATAGAAGAGGGGTGGCTTCGGAGAAGAGTAAGTCCGGCCGAAGATGATAACTGGTAGTAAAAAAGATTAAAATAAGATTCCAACACCCTTTTATTTTTCATTTTTTGATTAACTTTTACAAATATTTGCGTGAACCTTTTTATCACATAAAACGAGAAGGTAAGACGTCCTTTTTTTGGCTTCATGAGCCATTGGAAAAGTTGTTTTGGTCAGTTTGCCAACGGCAAGAAAATCTACATCGACTCAAGTTTGCACCCAAAATCAGATATTCATTATTTGAAAAAGGTTCTTTTGAAGGAAAGACTCCATCCATGACATCTACTAAGTTACTATGGGCATTTCACTTCATTCTGCTGCCTAAGTAGGTGACAGCGCTGTTTTATTTTTATTCCGTCATTGAGATCCGAGCCAACAGGCGTTAATAAGGCGGCGCAGTGAGTAGAAGGAGTCTTTATAACATCAGTGGCTTTCTTACGAGTGACTGCAAATAAAACCGTACAGAGATGGCGAAAACGGCTTAGGACACGTTTTGGTTACCTTTTTCTTTGGCCGAAAGTCGAGACAGCTAACTAAAACTGAGGAAAAGCGTAACAATTAAAATTAGCCCGGGTAATACTGAAAGCATCAACAGCTGTGGCACCAGATTCTCGATGCCATGAAACTAAACTATCAGACTTGGCATTAAGCCTTGATGCAATAAAAAGTAGATTACATGAACGAAGGTCAAGCCTGCCTAAGGTCATTAACTATTGAGAACTCCAAGTAAGATGGATCAAGTACGGTCTACGGCCAATGGTCTCAATCATCCATAAACCCGTCACAAAACCTAGAGGCAATTCTAAAGGATAAATCCAGATTGCTAACGGGAGAATGATTTTAGCCATTGCTGCACCATGGTGGTTCGGTGACAGATTTGCACATTAACTATACCACGGATACGAAATACTGCAAAATCACCATTCAGAAACTAAAAGAACAGCTCATATCACTAAAAATTTTAGGTTTTTTCGTGTAATGTGTGATAAAATAGTTTGTGGTTCCTAGAGAGTCGACTATATACCTTTTTAAAACGTGGTATTCCACAGTGCTATGAATTGCCCTCTATTACAACGTTCCCCATGGTATTGTACCCTATTTTTGACTGCTTTCTTAAGTGAATATTTGCCGGAAGGACATTAAATAACTTGGCAGCAGAGTCTTGAAAAGTGCCCATCTCCATTGGTATAGTTAATCTTGTTGCTGCTCCTGACCGCAAAGATCGCATATGTTTAACAGTATCTAGTGGTACGTAAGACGGCCAGCTGGGGAAGTACAAAGCCTGGTGAACGAGTTTGAGAACGTGGAAATCTTTTCGCTGTCTTACTGGTAACCATGCTATCTTAACAATATCGTTAATGTCATTTACATACCTATTCAGGACAAAACTAGCAGCTAATAGCTGGACACGTTGTAAACGTTTTAGTTGAAATTCCGGCAAAGGGTAATAGACAGTGTCACAATAGTCAAGTTTTGACAGCACCAGTAACTCCACTAAGTGCTTTCTGAGCCTATAACCAGCAAAGTTCTTAAGTTTTCTTATTATTTGTATTGTTCCGTAACAGCTCTTGCATGTTGCTTTCACGTGCTCATCCCAGTTAAGATGCTGGTGAAAATGGACACCAAGAAGCCTACTTACATTTCCATATTCTAATGTACTATCTGAAATTGTAATAGCTGGTCGGTTCTTATCTAAACTATGTACATGTGACATCTGGCTTGTGGATAGCAACATCGTCTTTGTCTTCTTCGAATTAAGTGCTAGATGGGAGTCGTTAGACCAGGAGCTCACAGTGTTTAGTGTGGAGTTTAGTTCTTGCGCACATGTTTGTAGCTCAGGAGCTGGACAGCTGGAGTATATTGTAGTATCGTCAGCGTATTGAAATGAACCAATCGAGGAAGGGAGATGTTCTTGCAAATCGAAAACATAGAGATTAAATAACATTGGGCCGAGGATCGACCCTCGTGGCACACCAAAATATACGTTCACTGATTCAGATGTACGATCATCGATCTGTACGAAATGTGACCGGTCACACAAGTAGCTATTCAGGCAGCGCAGAAACGGCTTCGAGAAACCAAGCGTTGATAACTTAGTTATAAGAACATTATATAATATAAAAATCACTTTTTTGTTTATAGATTATGATCTCAACATTTTTTGATGACGTCAACTCTAGGAAATTCTGACGTCACTTGCTCCTTGCCATCTAAAAATAAACTATGACATCATCCTATCTTAATGGAATCAATGACGTCATCAGCATTAATTTAAAGTATGACAGCATCCTATCTTAATGAGATGCATGACGTCATCTGCGTTAATTTAAACTATTAATCATCCTATCTTAATGAGATGCATGACGTCATCTGCGTTAATTTATAGCGCTCAAAAAGTTAATTAAATCCGCAAAAAACCGGCGTAAAACATCCCTCCTCCACTACTGTTGACACTACAGCTGCCCCCCGCTCTGTATATTGTCGGTTATTCTTGCTCGTTGTGTAGCTCCGTTGAAATAATACCGATTCACAATGAAGATTTTCACGCATATTCCATACAATAGGCGAGATAAATACAGGAAACGCAAGGTTCCACGCACTGTTTCAGTTCGATTTACACAGCTTTGATCAAAACATTCTCAGTTTCGAGAATAGTTTATTCTAAACCATAAGAAACGATTTAATTCGAAGTTGATTTTTTCGCTATTTCTTTTTCACTGTTGACACTCAGTTCATTTTATTTGCAGGAAAGTAAGCCTTGGAATTAAAAGGACGTTTTTGATCACCTCACGATCTCGCGTTGCAGTCTTATTTTAAACTTTACAGCGGAAGGACATCTGTGGGCAGGGAATAAGTCAGCACAGAAATTGATTGTCGGTGAATTTCTGTAATCGTCCATCGTTCTGCTAGTGATAAGCTACCCGTTGATTCACTCGACTTGTTTGTTTGGGGCTGAGTCTTATTCCGGTCAAAGAAAGAGAAAAAGTGTCTGGCAAGGTTTACAATCAAAGATTTGTGAACTCGTGTCTCCCAAACTCTTATACACAGTTATACACACCCTATAACTTCATCTGCGCTTAACGAGTGTCTTTTGGACCATAACTTTCGGCAAAACAACTGCTCCACAAAATGTCACTGATAACACCACGTAACGCAAAAGAGTATCGAAGCATGACTGCACACTAAATGTCACAAAATCTACCTAAGCGGTCCCTTCGGCATTTTCTGTCTTTACATCATCCTAGCCATTTCGTACTTGCGGGCGCAAACAATAGAAACGTCATCATTACCTACCGGCCCCTGTTCAAGCAAATCGAGGTTTTTTCTGGCATACGGACTGTATATTTCAACTGTAAGTACTTTCCTTAATATACGCGCGAGTTGGGCGAAATCCTTGCGGGGGCAATAAAAAGTAACTGAAAAAAAAATGAAAACAATCTCCACTACAAGACTCGGTCAGAAGGTATATTAGAGAGATTTCTATAGCCATGTTTTTGCAAATCCAGTCAGATACATAAAATATATGAGACGCCTAGCTCTTACCGTGGGAAACAAGTCCTCCAACATAGCTTTTTAAACTATTGATGTTTTCAGGAGTTGCTCTTGCTAACTGTTCATCGTAACATAACCTTTTCCCACCAAAGATTCCAGGGGTTGCGACCCTAGTGTTAAAGGATACAATTCCAACCTAAAATTAAAAAAGAAAAGAAAAGAAAAAGTCTACTTTCGAAGCCAGTTAAAATTTCATGTGAAGAAAATTATTCGGCACGATGCATTGAAATGTTAGCGCGCGTAACATGGGTTTCCGCGATTGAGGCATTTCGCGAAAGTTGAAACGAGGGCAAGGCGAACTCGCCCGGAAACGCTTTCCAGTCGAAACGTCGATTGGTTATTGTATTCAAGCTAATATATATCCTCTCTCATCTGCAACCCCATTGATAAGCACGTAAGCACAGATGTTTTCTGTTCCTTATTTAGTTATTATTCACTTACATGATCTTTTGGATTCATGGTTTCTAGCACTGTGTTTGCAGCTTTTTTGGCGATGACAAGTTTCTCTCCAATCATGGATGCACTTGTATCGATCACCAAAACCACGTCTTTAGCTTCCGGAGTGGCGGTTTCCACGTAAAACGGTCTGTATCGAGGGTCGTATTTAGAACAATCCTTTTCGTTAAAGTGAACCGGAAAGACAGTCAACATGCCTTCCTCTGAAGCAAAGTACTGCCAAGTGAAGAAAGAATACGTTTTAAAAATAGCTTTCATTTCCATAAGAACGCTTCCATCTAAGTGGACAGGGCTGGGTGAAGCAGTACTAGAAATCTGAGCACAAAAATTGTTTACGTCCACTAGAGATCGGAACCTCGTGTTGTATTGAAGTTTAGATTTCTCGGCCTTACAGCATTCCTTGGCTGGCTTTGTATTCGCAGCTCGATTGTACGAGTCTTCAACTGCTTTCTTCAGTCGCCTTACCACTGCAAACCTGGTTTTGAACTTGTCTGCAAGTTTGGCAGCTAGAGATGGAAGAGCATCTTTTGCAGTCATGGTCTGCTTGTGGTACTGAAGTTTCTCCAAATGTATCTAAACGAGAACGAAAATAAAGGCTCTGGCTGAGCTCAAGATTTCTTTTGCGTTTTCAGAATAAAAATTATCTCAAAATACCTGCATTTAAATTTTTTCCTTGTCATATAGAGAGAGCAGTATCCAGTTTCAAATGTCTTATTTTATTTGAAAACTTACCTCCCGGATGTTTTACATGTAATTATAGCTCTCCTGTTCTAAAACAAATATATTCCAAGTCAAGCAAAGAAAGAACGTAAACTGCGCTCGTTCTCTTCCCCGATTGCCAACTCAGGGTAAGGTTTCGCAGATGCCAAATTTCTGTAGTATTTTAGTTTTATTGCCTTTGTCCTCAGATCCAAAAGAAAATAGGTCTTTACCTCTAGTTAGGTTACTCTTTCATATTACAAGTGGAAAAGGCTTAGACTAGAGATAAAAAAACAGCATTTTTTATCAAGTTAAAAGACTGTAAAGCTTAGGTGTTAAGATTACCGTGAGTATTTAGGCTACGCTCACGTACACCGTATAGATTTGGGTGCTGACACGAAAAGCTATCCGGTATAATAGACGGCAAGGGCACCGAACTGGAACAAGCAGTTCACACACATCGAACATAGTGCCGCAGCGGTTGGCCGAGAGGGTTTGGAGAACTAAATCCTACTCCTAAATCCTACATATCTGTTACCTCCGTCTCAGTGGATTCTGGTCCTCACTCCTACTTATTATGTTCCGCTACGGTCCGCATTACTATGCTCATTACACAAGAATATGTCACAGAACCTAGCCAATAAGTGACGCTCCACTTTCGAGATCGGCCGTCTGCAGCTTCGTTTCGCTACAGAAATCGCGGAGAAATCCGCTTTTGCTTAACTCATTATGCCATCAGCTCTTTATTTTCTTTGTTACGCCTGAGGGAATTGCAGGCAAGGGGGGACCCTGGGCATCTTTGGGGCAAAAAACTCACTTCAGTTTTTATCTCCACCCTTGGAAACTTTATTGTTCTGGGCTACGGCAATACTCGAGGCTCTATAGAGCCGCAAAATGTAATTTCTAACGATTGAGAGACATGGAAACGAATTAGTCATAAATGAATATTCTGACGGCACGGTTTAGAGCTCGAGGTGCGCGGCGGTTTGTGGGATATTTTCGGACTATTTATGGTTTTCAGAGGCGCGGGATTTGTGGCATTATACGTCAGCTCAGTCGCCTTGTTCGTTTTCGTTTTGTTTTACATATTTTCTTTTCCAATGGCTTATATCCTTACGTGTTCAGATCTGTATTTTTTTGTTGGAATAACCTTATTTCGGCATATATAGCTTATGTATTTAGGTTTTTGGACCTGCCTTCTTTGAAATTGATTAGTCGCTTTGGACGACTGTGTGACAAGGTATTCACTGTTCTAAGTTATTCGCTTAAACCCATTACCCGGGGTTTCCCGCCACGCCATTTGTAGGGGAATACGTTTCCACACATTTTTTGGCCACTTCTCAATGGAGGATTTTAGTGGTTTTTCGTGTAATATTTTGCTAGAAGTGTAAGGTCGAATGGGTGTAACTTAACTAGGATACATCTACATCAGATGACTGACTGACGCATCTTAAACAAACTTTTAGCATTGAATGTGTCGTGTCAGTGGAGTCAGAATAAGTTCTGCCTGTACATGGGTGACCATTCAGTTCTGCATTCGGAAGTAAAAATGCTTCCGGCTGGTCAAGTCCAAAAGGCTTCAAGAACTGTTTTCGAAATGCCCCAATAAACTATCGACAAACTATGCCAGATGATAGATTTAATTCAGTGAAAATGAACATAACAAGAAGTCGGAATCATAATTACAACGCTACTGACAAAATGAGTTTTAAACGCATGTCCTGGATTTTTACGAAGTCTGCAGCGCACCTTCATAACATGACATAAGAACTAGCAAATAACTGAAATTTCAACTTTGAAATTTTCCGCTGATTTGTAAAAACGTTGCGGCTCATAAAAGTTGGTTCCTAAAAGAGACATGTAACTTGGTGTCATGTTAGGTGTATAATTTGAATGAATTACCCTGGAGCCCCTTCACACAATCTTCCACAGGGTACATGTTTCACATACTATCACCTTTAGCTCTGAAGGCGTCTGGAAAAAATGTTGATGTGTGGTTTTTCGACTCTTGTTGATGGCAATTTTTGCATTCAGTGTTAGTGGGGAATATCCTTGTCAACCCCTCCTTTTAAAAAAAAATGCGAACGAGGCGTCTGAATGCCCTCGAAGTACATGGCATAACCGCATCAATGATCCAGCGTTGGACAAATAAAAAAATAACTTTTATTACCTCGCGCTGGTAAATGACAATTGGTTTAATTTTTACTTTGCTTTTAGTTGCATTGAATAAGAAGATCGCTTGTGTTGAAAAGGGATTGGAAATAGGTGGTTGTACCTCAAGAGAAACGAGGGAGGGGCTCGGCACGTGGCCTAGCCCACCCGCACTCGGGAAGTGCGCTGAAGAAGATAAATATATATATATATTCGTTTTTTCAGTAGAACGTATTTCGTAGAGCGCTCGTCTCAATTGATTGAGGAGCATCAGCTATTATTTCACAGAAGTTCAGGTTTCACGAGTAATCATCGTTTTATTTACGATGATTACCCGTGAAACCTGAACTTCTGTGAAGTTATATATATATATATATATATATATATATATACAATTAAGCGCACGTGCAGTGCGCAGTGCTCTACTTGCAGTGAAGGAGCGGGATAGACCAGTAGGTGAACTAGTCAAATCCTGAGTACATGGGGGATGGGTGTTTAATACAAGCCTGTTTCGTAGGCCACCGAAAAGGTGACACACTCTTCAGTTAAACTCCATTATAACACTGAAGCGTCAGGGTCTACATCAAGAAAAGTGATCGCCTGAACCATATTAATAATCACAGGAGTTCAGGCTTCAGGAGTAATCATTGATCGTTTATTGGGACAGTGCTGTTTCGTATGGTCCGAAATTGTAGGACCACACTCATCAGGCAACTTCAACGATTGACCGTTAAAATTAAAAGCCCCCACAGAAACAGATATGTACTTCAGAACTCTAGAGTAACGTAACTAAGACACAATCCATCTGTTACCTAGATACTATCTCTTAACGCATCCCTATATTTACTGCCAGCTTTTAATTTTAACGGTCAATCGTTGAAGTTGCCTGATGAGTGTGGTCCTACAATTTCGGACCATACGAAACAGCACTGTCGCAATAAACGATCAATGATTACTCCTGAAGCCTGAACTCCTGTGATTATTAATAGTCAATGCTCTTCAATTAAATGAATTGAGCGCTCTACGGAATACGTTCTACCCAGAATACAAGTATACATATATATATATATATATATATATATATATATATATATATATATATATACACATATATATATATATATATAGATACTAGATACTAGATACTAGATACTAGATACTATATCTTAACGCATCCCTATATTTACTGCCAGCTTTTAATTTTAACGGTCAATCGTTGAAGTTGCCTGATGAGTGTGGTCCTACAATTTCGGACCATACGAAACAGCACTGTCGCAATAAACGATCAATGATTACTCCTGAAGCCTGAACTACTGTGATTATTAATAGTCAATGCTCTTCAATTAAATGAATTGAGCGCTCTACGGAATACGTTCTACCCAGAATACAAGTATATATATATATATATAAGTATATATATATATATATATGTATATATATATATATATATATATATATATATATATATATATATATATATATATATATATATATATATATATATATATATATATATATATATATATATATATATATATATATATATATATATATATATATATATATATATATATATATATATATATATATATATATATATATATATATATATATATATATATATATTCGCATCTCTATATATATATATATATATATATATATATATATATATAGGGATGCGAATATATATATATATATTTAACAATTATTCCACGAGGGCACGTTGGATATGAGATGATAGATAGCCAACGAGGCGCATAGCGCCGAGTTGGCTATAATCATTTCATATCCAACAAGCCCGAGTGGAATAATTGTTTTATTAAAAACGCCCACAAAATCTCGTTGAATCGCCCCGACTAGAACAAACCGGAAAAGACAAGGGACTTCCGCTATTCACATGTCACACGTCTATCAAAACTGTCAACGCGCGAACGGACTCGCCTAGACTGCATGAATGAAAAATCAAAACATTGTAGCGATGAACATTAGTTTTTTAAAAACTCATAGTGATTCTAGGATTTTGCACAGTAGAACAGCTTAAAAAACCTGGCAGATAATGTGAAGGAAAGGAATTTTTAAGTGACAGCCGTCGAAATTACTATGAATTTGGATTTTCGGTGCAGTTATAAAAGTAAGAACAACGGAGAAAGACTACCGGTATTACCTCGGTCGCTTGTTATGAAGTTGTTTGAAGCCACAAGCTGGTTTTGCTGAACGAGAAAAGAAGCTATACTGCCGCCTCGATTGCTCTAGTGAATGGCTGCATAGCCTGTATTTGTAGCTCGTTACTTGTGATTTATATTCTTGATGTCGGATAAACAAGCTGCAGTTATCTATTGGCGAGTGACTCGATCGGCCAATGGCTTCGCGATCATGAAGAAACAACACTTGTCTTCTTTCGTAGCTGGCAAGGTACTTTAGTTCCGGCCATGTGTTTTCATGTGTTTTTCGACAAACTTTCAAACAAGCTCTTGTGGCTTTTTTGTTTGTTTTTGTCTTTTTTCTTTCGTTGAAATTGCATTTCTAGTATTCTAAAAAATGAATTAAAACGATTTGCTTCGGGCGCCGTTCTATCCTTCGCGAAAAAAAATCTCAGCTAGCTTCCAATTCTAAACTGACGCGTACACCGACCATATATGGAGAACATGGTATATTAGCTCATATACCATAACGGCTAAGCCAATCAAAATGCTAGAATTGCATTATCCAATGATTCAGTT